TAGTATTGCAACTCAAGGCTTAATTTTTTTCTTCAGTTTGAGAAATGCCTAATGTGTTCTTTCCTTTTGGTTTTCTAACTCCAGGTCTTTGTACACTTCATTATAATAATTGACTATCTTTTTGTACTGCTCTTTGAAATCTTCTGTTCAGATCTTTTAGCTTGTTATTTCTTCCATTTGCTTTAGCTACTCTTCATTCAAGGGCAAGTTTCAGAGCCTGTTCTAACATTCATTTTTGTCTTTTCTTCCTTTCCTGTCTTTTGAATGACCTCTTGCTTTTCTTCATTGATGATGTTCTTGATGTCATCCCACAATTCCTCTGGTTTGCAGTCGTTAGTGTTCAATGCATCAAATCTATTCTTTAGATGGTCTCTAAATTCAGGAGGGATATAATCAAGGTCATACTTTGGCTCTCATGGACTTCTTTTAGCTGTCTTCAACTCCAACTTCAACTTGCATATGAGAAGTTGATGGTCTGTTCCACAATCAGATCCTGGCTTTGTTTTGGCTGAAGATATTGAGCTTCTCCATTACCTCTTGCCATAGATGTAGTCAATCTAATTCCTGTGTGCTCCATCTGGCAAAGTTCACATGTATAGCACCTGATTGTATTGTTGAAAAAGGTATTTGCCACGAATAGGTCTTTGGTCTTGCAAAATTCTGTCATGTGATCTCCAGCGTTATTTCTTAGATCACTGGAAGTAACAATCACCTTAGTGTTTCTATCACATTGTAGGCTTAGTGCCCAATGACATTACAAATTGAAATCATTTTAGCAATGATTTTATTTTTGTTGCTGTTATTGTTATAATAAGATCTCAAAGGCAGTAAGATCAGAAAAATTTCAGGACTAATCAAGAGCCAGAAAAGTGAAATGGTGAACAGTGTGTTAATGGTTGATGGGAGTAACCCAAGCATCTCGAAGTCAAAAAACAAAAAACTCACTGCCGTCTAGTCAATTCCAACTCATAGCAACCCCCATTGGGTTATCAAAGCTGTGAATCTTTACAGAAGTAGACTGCCTCATCTTTCTTCCACAGAGCAGCTTGTGGCTCAAATCAACAATCTTTTGGTTAGCAGCCAAATGCCTTAAGTATTTCACCACCAGAGAGCCTCTAGAAGTCAAAAGCATACTTCAATCCTGAAGTGACAATAGTTAAGGGTCAGTCATCTAGTGGTACTCTCATCCAAAGAAAACTGCCACACACACTCAAGGGAATGTTTCAGTCTACATTATACTGTTCAAGCTCTGTATGAACTCCATGGCTGGCACCTCATAGAGGCTCAGTAATGTATAAAAATAAAAAAAGAAAGAAACAAACACGGTCATTTCATGGCAATGATGAAATTAACTGGATATAATACTCAATGGGAAGTACTATCCAAGAAAACACTATTTTTTTCATTTTTAATATTGGGTAATAATTCTATTTAAGGAGCTCTGGTAGTGTAAAGGTTAAGACATTTTGGCTGCAAACCAAAAGGTCAGTGGTTCAAACTCACCAGGTTCTCTATGGAAGAAAGATGGGGTGATATGCTCCCATAAAGATTTATAGCCTTGGAAACCCAATGGAGGTCACTATGAGTTAGAATTGACTCAATGGCAGTGAGTTTTTCTTTCAAATAATTCTATTTGTAAAGACCCCTATATCCAATTTAATTTAAGATAGGAAGAGCTCCATTAAAATATTGATCATATTTTATTCAGATATCTCTTAATTGGTGCAACTACTAGCTACTGTGACATCGCAGACAATGGAGTTGGCTGGAGTAATCCTTTGCCAGTATGTGTAAGTAAGTATGATTTTTTTTTCTGACTTGAACCTAAGCCATGTTATGCAACAAAATGTCTGTGTATCTTTGCTGCATTGTGTACCCTCCAGTAGAATTTGAATCATGCATTTTAGATTTGTTATGTTGCCTTTCCCAACTATTTCTTCCTCTTCCCTAATGTCAGTTGCACACTGTGAGCCTCCTCCGGACATCAGCAATGGGAAGCACAATGGTGGAGAAGATGATGTCTACACATATGGCTCTTCTGTCGCCTACAGATGTGACCCCCAATACTCACTCTTAGGCCAAGCCTCCATTTCCTGCATGGTAGAGAATAAAACGATAGGTGTCTGGAGACCAAGCGCTCCTACCTGTAAAAGTAAGTCATAGAAAGAATTCTGCCTTGAATTCTTTTTGTTCTCTTTTGTTTAAAAGAAAAAAAGAAGATGACTATATTGGAGGAAGGGGAGCAATTCAAATAATTATTGCAGTGACAATGATTGCAGTGATGCAGTCATCTATTTGGTCAACTGCGACTTATTACATGCTACGTTGGTATATAGTAGCAAGCAGCACCTATTGCTCATTGACTTTGTGAAGTAAAAGTTTATTTTTCACTTATTCTCAGTCTGCTGCACTTCCAGGATGCTCTCCAGTGAGCTCTAGTGTGTATATCAGCAACCCAGGTAGTCTGATCATGGGACATCTTCATATCAAAATGTGCTTTCATAGATATAACACTAAAAGTATGAGCACCGTAACAAAAATAAAAACAACAAAAAATATAGATTTCATCAAAATTAAAAATATTTGTGCATCAAAGGACTTCATCAACAAAGTGAAGAGACAACCTACAGATTGGGAAAAATTGGGGGGAAACATGTATCTCATAAGGATTTAATATGCAGAATAAAGAAAGAGCTTCTACAACTTAACAACAAAAAGAAACAACACAATAAAAAAAATGGGCAAAGGAATTGAATAGACACTTCAACAAAAAGAACGTACAAATGACCAGCAAGCCAATAAAAATATCTCAGCATCATTAGTCATTACCAGTATGCATTGCTGTTGAGTTGATTCCTACTCATGGCAACCCTAAGTGTGTCAGAGTAAAACTACTACATAGGGTTTTCGATGGCAGATTTTGTGGTAGATTGCCAGGCCTTTCTTCAAGGTACTTCTGGGTGGACGCAAAGCTCTAACCTTTCAGTTTGCAGCCAACCGTGCTAACCATTTGCAGCACCCAGGGTCTCCCATTGGTCGTTGCTGTTGTTATTTGTCATTGAGTCAATTCTGATTCCTGTCAGCCCCAGGCATGCAGTGTAGAATTGCTCCATAGGATTTTCAAGGCTATGACCTTTCAAACTACCAGTATTTCAGCTAGCCACCCAGAGACTCCACCATTAGACACTAGGGAGATGCAACTCAAAACTACATTGAGATGTTATTTCACCCACACTACAATGGCTATGATAAAAAAAAAAGAAAGTAACAGGTGTTGGAGAGGATGTAGAGAAATTGGAACTCTCATCCATTGTTGGTGGGAATGCACAATGATACAGCTACAATGGAAAAAAGTTAGCAGTTCCTCAAAAACTTCAGTATAGAACCACCATATGACCCAGTAACCCCAATCTAGCCATCTGCCCAAAAGAAACGAAAGTGGGAATGCAAATAGAAACTTATATACCAATGTTCTTGGTAGTACTTTTCACAATACCTAAAAGGTGGAAACATATGTTCATCAACAGATAAATGGGTAAACAAAATGTGGTACATATATACCATGGAATATTACTTAGACGTTAAGAGAAAATGAAGTTTTGATACACACTGTAACATCAATGAATTCTGACAACAGTATGTTGAACGAAATAAGTTAGTCACAAAAAGACAGATATCATTTGATCCCACATACATGAAATATAGGTAAATGTGTAAAGACTGAAGTTTATTAGTGGTTGCCAGAGCCGAGAGGAAGGAGCCCTGGTGACATAGTGGTTAAGCACGTGGCTGTTAACTGAAAGGTCAGTCAGTGGTTTAAGCTCACCAGCTTGTCCCCAGGAGACAGCCTGCTTCTGTAAAGGTTACAGCCTAGGAAACCCAATGGAGCAGTTCTACTCTGCCCTATAGACTCTCTGTGAGTTGGAAATCTATTCAACAGCAATGGGTGATGGGAGGGGTGGGAGTGGGGGATAAGGGAAGTCTTTGCTTGGGGGAGGTTGAGTTTGTGTGAATGGTGACTGAATTGGAAACAGATAGTTGCATGGCACGATGAATGTAATCAATGTCACTGAATTATATATGTAAAAAGTGTTGAATTGGCCATGTTTTATTACATATTTTTACCAAAATAAAACAATTTTTAAAAATGTGCTTTCATAAACCCTTCAGGAGAGGAAGAGAAAAGAGAAATTGTGCCCTGGCCACAAAGATATTTAGTGGCCACTATCACTTTCCATTGCACCCTTTTGGCCAGAACTAGTTATGTGGCTCCATCTACCCTAAGAGACTGGGGAATATAGTATTTTATCTATCCTGGAAATGAAATGTAATCATTTAATGTCAATCACATATGACTACAGGGCAAACTAAAAAGCAGAGATCAACATAACAAAGCAAATAGTAAGGGAGTCAGAAGGTATTATGTTATTGCTAGTTTGCTGATCTAAGTCATCTTCCTTTTCTGTTAAGTACTTATACCATATCACCTACTGTTCTGACTCCCACAGGACATAGTCAAGCTAGGCAGTGAGAGAACATGATACTTAACTGCAAATGGTTCAAAATGCCTGGAGGCTATACTGTAAGATGTGGGAGTGCCAGGAGCTGAGGCTGGGAATGCTAGTGAGGGCCGAATTATGAAAGGCCTCAGGCCATTCTCAGGAGTTCAAAACAAAAGTGAAAGGGAGGTATCAGGAGGCTTTCAGCAGAGAAGGAAATGTGCTGCATTTTAGAAAGAACGCTGTCTTTAGTGAGACAAAATTAAGCCCAGGAAACTGAAAGGCACCTGTTACAACCATCTAGAGAAGAAAATGAAGATGGCTCCAACTTCAGCTGAGGTATCAGGCCTGAAGAGGAGTTGAGGGATTGTAGAGGTCCTTGAGTAGTGCAAATGTTTTGCACTCAATCAATAATCTAAAGGTTGGCTGTTCAAACTCACCCAGTGGTGCTGTGGAAGAAGGGCCTGACAATCTACTTTTGTAAAGATTACAGCCAAGGAAACCCTACTGAGCTGTTTTACTCCCCATGTAACACATGGGTCCCAGTTGGCTAATTTTTAGAAGTAGAAAGCCAGACCTTTCTTCCTAGTCTGTCTAAGTCTGGAAGCTCTACTGAAACCAATACACCAGCAGGTAACCCTGCTGGTGTTTGAAATATCAGTGGCATAGCTTTTAGTGTAATAACAACACTCAAGCCATCACAGTATGACAAACTGATAGATTGGTAGTATATACATAAGTACACACAGCAATATATATATGGCGCGGGATCAGGCAGTGTTTCGTTCTGCTGTGCATGGGGTGGCTATGAGTTGGAAACGACTTGACGGCACTTAACAACAACAACAACACACACACACACACACACA